TGTCAGCACCTGTCAAGATGTTAGAAATTTAATTTCTATGCTGGTAGGCAAATCCAGCGGGTTAACACCTGTCGAGGTGGTAGAAATTTAATTTCTATGCTGCTAGGCAACCGCAGCGGCAGTAGAAGTACTTTTAGTGCCGCTGGAGCGGCAGCAAAAGTACTTTTAGTGCCGCTCGTACTTTTACTGCCGCTTAACCATTCAGTTGCCCCCGAGCTTACCCCATTCGTTTGGAGAAAAAATATCGTGTTGTATACGGAGTAGAAGCACTTTTTTGTGCTTCAGCAGTATTGCAAGCCTCACTACGTTCGGCTCGCAAACCTACTGCTTCAGCCCAAAAAAGTAAAGCTTCTACTCCTTATACAACAATATACTATTATTCATAAACCAACATGAAACAAAAATGTTAGTTTACTTTTCCAGATTATCTCCATGAATTTCTGGTTCCATATCCCCCGGGTCCAATAAGCCTTTATCTTTAAAGTCTAGTGAAGGCCAAGTCATATTATATAGCGTGGGAGAAAATGATGCGGGGGGTGGATTCTGTTTCGAAAAAATTGATTATTAGTCGCAAAATAGTATATTATGTGTTGATAGCCATTAATAAACAAGCATGTTGTAGGATACGATACGAGCCAAAGGCGAGTTTCGTATATAACATGCGAGTGCAGTGTTGCCAACTGCGGATGAACTATTATAGTATAGAATGCTACAAAATTATAGTACATTTGTACAAATTATAGTATTCTGCTGTTTCCATTTCAAAAAAAGGAGGTTAGAGGCATTCTTGTGTATAGGGTATTAACGAAATTCGCATATTGTCACAACCCTGTTTGGTTGAGACTGTTGCAATCTTATTTAGTTGCAACTAGGGACCGGGGGAATCTCAGAGATTAAAACAATCAAGTTTTGTAACACCAAGAAAAATATTTATTCTCAAAATCAATAATTAAATTAAGAACAGTAGTGTAGAATGATGGCCGATGAGAACACTAGAGGATTTATAAAAGTTTAACAATGGTACTTACCGGAATCCCATCTTCCTGTAGCCCGTTAGCCCGTAGCACAATCTTTACGACTTTAACGCCCGAATTCAGATTTACAACTCACTTGAAAATTACGCTTTATCGATCCAAATCGATTCAGAATTGTCAGCAAAAATCATTGACCTAAAACCTAGGTTGTTGGCTTTAAGCTTTTTTGTCGATTCTGAGTGCGTTTGCTTTATTTGATATAACATCCGAATTGCGCAACTAAATTGGGACATTATTAGTCAATGAACTTTGGTTAATTCGTATTGGAATAATAATGTGATATTTTTTGGCTTGACAATATTATATTAAAGTAGGAAAATATGTACTTAGTAACATAATTGCAACAAGGTATAAATAAAAAATAATTTTTTTATCTTGAGGGCCGGCTTCTCAAGAGCAAGTGACCCCCGGTTAAGCATAATTCCAAGGTAAACATTGCAACTAAATTGGAGTTAAAATCAACCCAAAGGGGACTCGCTATTGAGAAACCGACCCTGAGGAGTTAATAATGCTCCATTCACAGTGGTACTTGTAGCTGTTTTGTTGCGTAATTTTGTTTGAATAAGGTTTACATTTGATAATTTTCTCTCGCATTTTGCGTTGGAATAGGGAATCGGAAGAACTGGGCAGGGGATGTCACGTTGCCCTCACGAAGCGGATGAGGTGCTGACTCTGTAGGTCTCTTTCTTCACTATAATATCTAGTGAGGGGAGGTTCAACATGACAATTGCGGGGGTTGGACAGGTGTTAATTGCTCCAGTCCAAGACACTCTTTCGAGATGCTAGCTCCAAGTAAGTTTCCAATCCAAGGTAACTCCCAGATACTGAAACTCCCTTGGCCTTGCGAAGTGGATTTGAATCCCATTTAAGGTTGGAGCTGTTAGATTCAGCCTCCTTTTCCTTGTGGCAAACCCCTTCTGTAGACACCATATCTAATAATAACATTAATGGTCCTTTCTTCTGTCATGCCCTAATGCCTAATGATGACTGTGAGGTCGTCAACATATCCTAGGACCGTGATCACTTGGGTGCTTACCGCGTTGAGAAGTTTATCTACAACCAGTGATCACAGCAGTGGGAACAGTACAGACAAGAAACTAACCCCCGTATTTTCCCTATTTACTCCTTAAAAATGCCGGTTTCATGAAAGACATCTTCTGTACAAGAGAAAATTATTCATCTCGCTACACTTACGCAGTGAAGATCGACCAACACTAGGGTTTCACGATGTTTAAGAAATTTCTTATTCTTGACTTGAATTGAAGAAAATTTCAAGTCCAGAAATTTGAAACTGTTTCGGCTATGATCGGGATCCCATACCCCCATATGTATGAAGGTATCTCGTTCCTATACAAGTAACAAGCTGGTAGAAATAGACACGAATACACTCAGTACGCACTAACCCTTCCAATAGAACGGAGTCACTGGGAGTACACGCACGTAAAAAATTATATAGTGAACGATATTAAAAATATAATATGCTTTATTAAAAGATATCAATCCATATGGAACGATTACCTAAGATAATAAGACATATAAAATTTTTTTAATAATCAATATACAAGATTTTCTATTGAGAATAAGTATCCTTTCTCAGTACCGATATTATAAAGTTTTAAAATGTTTCACAATAAATTTACTATAAAGTCTATTACAGGATGTAATATAATTGAAGAATACAGTTTTATTGGATCAAAAATACGTAGTTCTTTTATAATAAATAATATAATAGTTTTATAATAAATTTTACTACACTTTTATAATAAATTTTATTATATTTTTTCATAATTTCTAAGGTAGGTATATAATAAATAAAACAATTTTTCACATATTTTTCGGTATCACTTATTATTGTATATAGTATAAGGTATATATAATGTATATTATAAGGTGAACAATTCGAGAAAATTAAATAATTATTTGATAATGTTGAAACTTTAGGTAATGTTCTGTGTATCATTCAGAAATATTTCGTCGATGTGGTATCATTCAGAAAAAAAAATCCATTTTGATCTACATAATCGATGACCATCAAACAATCCATTATTTTGATGTTACTTGTTGAACTAGATCCAGATCCTCTAAACAAGCCTAAAATTGACAATAAAAATATTCAAGCTATTATCCTATTTGTGTTTTGGTAGTGAATATTAACAAACATTTTTAAAATAGGTACCTATATATTGTATACCTACTAGACATAAAAATCAAGAACTTACTCTTTTTTCTGGAGGTCGATCCTGGATGTCGTTGTTCCTCAGAATGAGGCGTATCAAGTACCCAATTTTAATCGATAGAAGAGTTCGTTACAGTACCTTCTGGCAAAGTCTCTACTGGCCTTATTTTGGGAAACTACACCAAATTCTAGATCACCTAGCTGAAAATTATGATCTTTTAAAATTACCTGAAATTTGAAAAAATATACGCCGCATTTTATGGATCAGTGATGCTTACATTCAAATGCTTCCTAATGTGGAAAGGTAAAAACTTTCCAATATCTCCTTCATACTTTCCATGGGAAAGGGATACAGGACAGTCAAGACACAATAACGACGTACAAATATGAGGAAATGCCGCGAGTTTCCCTCTTGAAAGTTCTGTGCAGACTAAAACAATAAGCAAGCAAAAGCATATCCCAAAAGGTATAAAAATTTTGTGTGCGTAAACAGTATAACCTTTGTTAGTAAATACAATATAATAAAGGGACTTTTTTCCGTGCAGAGTGAGCAAGTCGAACCTAGCTACGGACCAAAGCGTTCGTTTGAACTCCAGTTGATTTGAAGGTTGTTGACTCCAAGCAGATCTTCCTAATTTTTCGGGTAGGTAGAGCAAGTACAAAGAGCTCGGTTGTTTACCAAACTCAACCCGTCCGCGTGATGAGTGCAAAACTTTCGTTGGTATTTCAGAATATAAGGCTAATGCTTCAAGTGCACATTGACACAAATGGGGCGATCCCGTCAGCCAGACGCATAAAGCCCGGGACACATCTATAATGCATGCTTCCGATCCGACTCCGATCATACAATCAGGGTCCTTATTCTTGAAACAGGGAGCAGCGTTTCCAGGAAATTGAGTGTTCCGCTGCTCCCCTGTTCCAAGAATAAGGACCTTGATTGTATGATCGGAGTCGGATCGGAAGAATGCATGATAGATGTGTCCCGGCCTTAATACGAGAGCACAGCACGGTTGCCAAGCAAGTCCGAGCAACGCGTTTCCAAAGTGGTTTCGAGAGCGACGGCGAAAAACGAAGATAGCTTCTTTTCAAGCAATTTCAAGAAATTTCGAGATATCTTGAATTCAAGTCAAGACTTTTGCTTCCAAACATTTCCTGAATTTCAAGTCAAGTCAAGAAATTACGTTCAAGTCAAGATTTTTCGTCTTGATGAAACAAACACTAACAACACCGCTCAAGGATTAGAACACTGGAGTGCCTCAGGAGTCAGTGCTTGGACTTCACTTGCACCAATGGCATCGCGAAGATTGTGTGATAGTTTCTCAGCCTAAAAATCTAAATTGATCAACCAGAAACTTTTCTTGGAAAAATGCAGCTTTGAGGCTCATCTCTGAATCCTGATGTGGGACTTGATGGTGGATGATTTCCTAGGAATACTGCGTTGCAAGTATGCCGTTGACATCGTCATCATAATAATAAAAAAAGTTCGAGGGCATCCTGTGGGAACTCATACAGACTGGATTCAAAGCAACGGAGGCACAAGAATCTTGAGATGGATATACACCATGGTCTGGTTGAAGGAAGATGAGAAGCAAAACATAAAAGCAGCTATCAACAACCTACAGCGACGACGCACTGTGGGTCCACATGCGAAAAAGTGCCGCATCGGGTTTTAAAAGCTAGATTCTTCTTGTAAGGAAGTATTACTGAGTATGACTGTATTTGATTTAAACGTAAGAATGTAAGGAATAAGAAAACGTCCATAAATTAAATTTTGGAGATAATTTTATTATTCATAAAAGAATATCTTCAAACTCATTCTCTGAATCATTTGCATCATCCGCATTGCTATCGATTTCTTCCGATTCCTCATCCGAACTGGAGTCATATGCCTGTGCCATTATGTCATTAACGATACAGGCCTCAATATTTAGTAAGTCAATGGGCAAATGTTCTTTTTCTGTTTTCTTCGAAAGCTTTGATTTTTGAAATGTTTGATAAATGTGAAAAAATAGAGGATCTGAAGTCAACATTAATCTATTAAAAACATCTTGCAAATTAGCCTTACGAGATATTTTCCGTGAAAAATCTGTCCTAAATTTCTTGAAGTCCTTATTTCGGGCTTCCTGACGCTCTTCACTAAGGGCACCTACAACGTAAAATAATAAAAATTACAAAATTGAAATTTTGAGCGTATTTTTAAATTCTTCCTAAAAATACAACCGAAAATATAAAGAAAATTACCTAATGGAATGGAAGGAAACTTTTCCAGGTATTCGTGTCCATGGTAGAGAATTTTATGTACTGTTGGGGAAAACTTAAATTGTGGATATATGTTAAGGAAAAGCTCCGCAGTTTCAAAGGCATATTTTTTGTAGGCTTCTGGTGAAATTGTCCTATTGCATGAAATAGCAGCGAGAATATTTGCAAATCTTTTTATGATAGATAATTCAATATCTATAATTTCAGATGTCAATTCCGAATTTTGAAAAAATCTTCGCGCTGTGTTTCCATCATGCGAAATGCCAAATCCAGGTTTTGGTTTGCCAATAATTAAACCAGTTTTTTCTTTGAAACTTTTTTGAACTTCTTTCTTTTTTATTTCCTGCTAATTTTTTGTTTCAGGCAGCCTAAATATGAGATTTATAATATGTTACAATAATTACTCTCAAATAAAGCAATAGGTACTTACTTATAACTACATCTTAGTAAAAACTCCATACAGTTAATTTTGGCATGAAGTGGAGATATCCCAAATTTGAATACATCCTTAGTAGTATTCTCCTTTGGTATCTCGTTTAAAGATTTTGGACCAGCAAGACAAACAGGACATCTCTAAAAGTAAAAGAGCATAAAACCTAAAAGAGAGATGAAGGCCTTAAATCCTTACCGAAGTCGCCTTATTTTCGCTTATTGCATTTATTATTTTTCCATCCACCATAGTAAAAAGGAATTCGTGTTGTACAGTAACTTCAACAGAATTGTTTAGTCTAATTGTAGTGTTTGCTAATTCATCAATTTCTTTCATTACTCTTGAATACTCTTTTTGAGTGGAAGCAGTGTCTTCCTTGCAAAAAGCTATTCTAATTGGCCTGCACAAACTGTAAATAAAACATGTTTAAATTATTGAAAACCTTTAATTGTATTTTCTGATTAATGGAAATAAGATATCATAAACAAAAGCAAATTAATTTACCTGGAAGAACTTGGACTTTCATTTTTCCAGATAACTGAGTCTCCAGTTTTCAGTAAAAGGGGTACCAAATTCGTGCAAAATACAGTTGAATCTGTACTATTTGAATCAATAAATCTTTGTTTAAATTCTGGATGACCACTGCTACCATCCATACCCCATTTGTATATTGAAACGATATCACATGGGTGGTTTAAATCAGAGATATGTACCAAAATTTGTTCGACAGTTATGTCTACGAGATTTTGGAGTGATACCTTCGCTTCAATTTCTGTAAAATTGTCTGGATTTTCAATGGGGTAGCTCATTTTTTTGTATTTCATTATCTCATGATATGATGTTAGATGTTGGTATCTAAAATTAAAACGCACATCAATTTGTTGTTTAGTTTATTTATTAAAAAAATATTGGTACTTACCTTTCCAAATTGTGGCAGCCCGCATATTTTGATACTGCGCTTTTGTTTGTTTTCCATTTATAATAAACAAAGCTATTGCTTCATTAGGGGAAAAAGGTTTGGGTAACTTTTGACTAGGAACCGAAAGTACTTTCTCTGGAGATTTCACAGCAATAGTAACAGCTTTTGCCAAATCAGGTTTTTGTTCTTTTCTGAGAACAGATATCGCTGCGTAAGTCAGAGCTTCTGAACAGTAATTATCTCTTATATCTAAAATTTGTTTTAAGTTATCCTAAAAATATGTTTGCATAACTAGACTTACCTTTAGTATTTCGTTCTTGCTGAGATGCAGATAAATCTGAAAAACATTTTTTTTTTGAAGGGCCAGGTGCAACTGGCTCAGGAACATCAAACAATTCATGAGTGTCAGTAAAAAGTTTTTCTGCTAACCAGGATGCATTATTTTGTGTAAATTTTGCCCAAGAATAACTTGAATCTCTCCATTTTTGTGCCCATTTTTTTATTAAATTTTTAATTGTATGTTTTAATATATCTTGCCGGTGTGTTAAATTAAAATTAATGCCGGATTCTTCCAAGCATGCTGATATATCATCGATAATCTCGACTTCAGATTTGCCGTTATATCCATGCTTTAAAAAAATATGGCATACCTCCATACGTGAACTCGTACCTAAAATTATGATAAACCTATAACATTTCGGACTTTTATGAAGATATTTGAAACCTTTATGTAAAGTTAACAACTGATAGAGAATAAAATAAATTACAAAAGTTATCTTTTTGAAAAAAGATAATTATTAGTAAAAAATTATTAACTTTAACGTAAAAAATTAAATATTCGGCGGGTCATCGCGGGTCCAAATGTCATTGTAAATTGTACCTGAAGTGTCCCAAAAAATTCACACAAAAAAATTATTGCGTGCCTCGGCGTTCCTCTTAAGATATTTTAATTTAAACAATATTTGGCTTTAAAAATATAAAGTACTTACGTGATATTTTTTTTTCCATGATTATATATTTTTTGTCAACTATACTCAACTATTTAAATAGCTACCAAAACCACACAATCACTGGGCACTACGAACTTCGCAAAATAAAAATCGAGTAAAATCAAAAAAGACGCTCACCTTATCAACAAAAACAGATAAACATTATAAAAAACCATAACAATAAATAGCTCATACGGGGTCCTTTCAAAAAATATTTCTTAAACTGAGGTAATTGCAATATAATTCTTGAGGCGTATGCGGCACCTTTTCGCATTTAGAACCACTGTGCGACGTGCACATTTGTTACAGGCGCAAAGGAAACTTGTCCAACAGCAGCCATCGAGACAATTGTAAGTCTCGTACCTTTTCGCATCGTGCTGGCAAATTCATTCCGCTCTTCGAGCTGCCCAGGGATGATATGATCAAAACATAGTTTTGAGAAATGCTTCACAGTAGTGATAAGCAGAAGAAAGTGGAAAGGAAGCACCACATTTATTCACACATACACCAAAACGCCAACAAGGGATGGGAGCAGGCTTACTTGGGCCTGGAATCAAGTCTTCCGATAGCTAACGCTGTTCTCGTAGCCCACTGATGAGCATGAATTTTTATTTCTATTTTTTTTATGGATTTATTTTCCAGTAAAAAAGTAAATAATTTGATAAAACATAATAATAGTATTTTAGGCGTACTATAAGGACCTTTGATAGTACATAGTACATAACCATTCAATTATAGTACGGTTGGCAACACTGTGCGAGTGGGCACACCTGTGAGTGACATATAAATTGTTCGTTATCCATAAGATGAAAAAATCGAGGAAAAAATTGCCTAATAAATTGTGAACAAAGCTTACTGAAATATACTCAACGGTTCAACAGTTATTGGTAAATCTGCTATTCTGACATGAATTTTCCTAAAAATTCTGTCGCATCTGGGAAACATGGAACGAACAACTTTTTTAGCGACTTCATCAAATCTTTCAAACATTTGTAATAGAGCTTTTACTAGAAAATGGGTTACTCGCTTAAAATGGGAAACTCAATTGTGAAACTCGACCAAAAACAATATACTTATTAACAGGTCATAGAAAAAAATAAATTAAGCTGTTCATACCTGATTATGTTGACACACACTCCTTATTTTTTCAATGAAAACCTTCTGTCGGTTGGAATCGAATTAATTGAAATAACTCAGCAAGAACGTTTCAAATCTTTGAGAAGTAATAGTTTTTGGAATTGTGTTTTGTCCTGAAAAAGGGTTTAAATCGGGCATTGGGCTATCATCACTGAAGAAAAAATATTTATTATTGATAAACCAACATGAAATAAGAATGTTAGTTTACTTTTCCAGATTATCTCCATGAATTTCTGGTTCCATATTCCCCGGGTCCAATAAACCTTTATCTTTAAAGTCTAGTGAAGGCGGAGTCATATTATATAGCGTGGGAGAAAATGATGCGGGGGGTAAATTCTGTTTCGAAAAAATTGATTATTAGTCGCAAAATAGTATATTATGTGTTGATAGCCATTAATAAACAAGAATGCTGTAGGATATAACATGCGAGTGCATGCAACAAAATTGCCTAATAAATTGTGAACAAAACTCACTGAAATGTGCTAAACGGTTCAACAGTAATTGGTAAATTTGCTATTCTGACATGAATTGTCTTAAAAACTCTATCGTATCTGGGAAACATGAACGAACAACTTTTTCAGCGACTTCATCAAATATTTCAAACATTTGTAATAGAGCTTTTACTAGAAAATGGGTTACTAAAACTTCTTCGTCGCTTAAAATGGGAAACTCAATTGTGAAACTCGACCAAAAACAATATACCTACTTATTAACAGGTCACATAAAAAAATAAATTAAGCTGTTCATACCTGATTATGTTGACACACACTCCTTATTTTTCAAATGAAAACCTTCTGTCGGTTGGAATCTAATTCATTGAAATAACTCAGCAAGAACGTTTCAAATCTTTGAGAAATAATAGTTTTTGGAATTGTGTTTTGTCCTGAAAAATGGTTTTAATCGGGCATTGGGCTATCGTCACTAAAGAAAATATTTATTATTGATAAACCAACATTTTCATGTTGGTTTGTTTCCAAAAATGATATTTTACTTTTCCAGCTTATCTCCATCAATTTCTGGTTTCATATTCCCCGAATCCAATAAGCCTATATCTTCAAAGTCTAGTGAAGGCGATGTCATATTATATAGCGTGGGAGAAAATGATGCGAGGGGTGGATTCTGTTTCGAAAAAATTGATTACTAGTAGCAAAATAGTATATTATGTGTTGATAGCTATTAATAAACAAGCATGTTGTAGGATATGAAACGAACCGAAGGCGAGTTTCGTATATAACAGGCGAGCTTAGGAAGTCTCTGCTGTCACCCCTGTTGATAGGACAGCTTGCCAAAATCTTGAAGAAAAGTGTGTATACAAGATGAAAAAATCCGGAAAAAAATTGCTTAATAAAATGTGAACAAAACTTACTGAATGTACTCAATGATTCAACAGTTATTGGTAAATCTGCTATTCTGGCATGGATTTTCTTCCTTTTCTTTTTTCATCAAATATTTCCCATATTTGTAATGGAGCTTTTACTAGAAAATGGGTTACTAAAACTTCTTTGTCGCTTAAAATGGGAAACTCAACTGTGAAACTCGACTAAAAACAATATACTTATTAACAGTTCATATATAAAAAAAAAATAAAGCGGTTCATACCTGTTTATGTTAACACATACTCCTTATTTTTTCCATGAAAATCTTCTGTCGGCTAGAATTGAATTCATTGAAATAACTCAGCAAGAACGTTTCAAATCTTTGAGAAATAATAGTTTTTGGAATTATTGGGTTTTTTGCTGAAAAAGGGGTTCAAATCCGGCATATTTTTGAGTTTTCTTGCAATATTTATGAATCACCCTGTTTATAAACTAATTGTTATACAAAAAAAGTATTATTCTTTCATATTTATTTGGTACAGCCATAAACAGATCTTGTTCTAGGCATTCCAAATTTCTTTTATCACCGAAGCAAGCAAATAAAGCAGCTTTAATATGTTCCCAACAATCGAGTTCCATTCTGCTTCCTACTAATTTAATTTCAATCTAACCTTTCTCAAGAGATAGTGGTTTAAAATTGGATCATTTGATTGATTATAGGTAGCGGAAATAATAATTTAGTAACTTATTTAAAATTTTCACGGTTCCTAACCAGGGAATATGAAAATTGGGCAACAGGAATAATTGGACACTTACCTTCTGGTTGTCAGTCTAATATGCCTGGTTTGTTGATTCTTTACTAACCACTCGTTGATTTCCGAAAATCATCCGTTGCGTAGCTCGTTGATAAAGTCAATTTTTCTGGGTGCACACACGTGATAGTTAATTGATTTTAGTATTCGTTTTCGGTGTCAAAGAGTTGCACTCGCGTTTTTCGCGATCGAACCGTTCCGATAACGTGCGTTTCGATCGTAAAAGTGCCCCAAATCCTACCGACTGCGCCAGTTATGTATTTTATACTAAAAATACTGTTTTTAAAAATCAATTTGACTTTAAAAATTACAATAGGGTGTTCTAGCCCAAAGCTTAGTTAAATGAAGAATAACTTTAAAAGCATGAATACAAATATATTATAAGATCTGATTGCCTGAGCCTGATTCTAGGTAATTAAACATCTGCAACTTTACCTACATAACTAATATGTGAATACCATCTTTTTTTCTTTGTGCATATCAGCGTCACGTTATGAACTAATATCCCTAATACTATTTTATTGTTAACTTCGCACTCCTCGGACTTTTTTATATCTTGTCTTTTTATTTTTCGGAACTGTTCTAAAGCAGTCTAAAATGGACATCGGTTTTAAAACGTAGTGTCGGCCCGAGCCTACTTTCAGGATGGAGCAATATCCAACTTTTTCGCCCCTAGTTCAAATGTGAATCGCCTCCGCATGGATTTTGACCATTGTAATACCATATGTCTCTATCTATCTTATCAATTGAAATTTGAAAATATCCATTTTCGTTGGCACGTACTCTTTTCCTTTTGAGAATTGATTTAAAGTAGAATGACAAACACATAATGGAAGTTTCAACGATCACCTATTTATTTATTATAATATCTACTTTCCAAAGAGCTCAGTTATCAATAATCGCAACTTTGGTAATATCACTTATTAACACTCAGGCTTGATTTATTCATCTTCCTATAAACTTGCGGTTCACTTTCTGCAAGATACATTTACCGACCTATAATCTATTGGACGGCGAATAACTAGCCGACTAATGGAGTTGCAGATAGCGTTTTTATCCGTCAGATTGCATTAGGTACCTGACAGTTCATCAGAAGGTGAATAAACCGGCCCTTATAATTTAAAAATGGAACCAGCACTGTTACATTTGCAAATTTGTTTATAATTCCCACATATTACAATAGGGTAGTGGACAATTTTTTGAAATATTTTTTTTATTAATCTTCATAACAAAATAAACAATTGTTGATGATTCTTTGATTTTAAAAAACAAAAATATCCGTAAAAAAAAAATTAACAAATTTGTACTTATTTTAAACGCTATAATTTACCGCCAGGAAATTACGTCATAGCTGTTATGTATGTCCAATAGCGCGTCTTTATATTTTACATGCTTTTAGAAA